AGAGCCTTTATTCAGAGGGCTTTCCATCATTCCTAAAGCCCTCCCTCACAGCAGAGCTTCACATAGTGACGCCTTCCTTCTTTCACTAGTTCAGTTTAGTGAGCCCTCAGCATGTGCCCAGTACTGTGCCAAATGGTGTAGATACGGCGCAGTTGTCCACACACTGTGCTTTATTGGTGGAGGAAGACAGATTATGAACAAGTGAGAAAATAATCACAGTTGGAGAAACTGCAGGATAAAGGGGGGACATAAATAATGCGAGAAAGGTGGCATTTAATCTAAGCCCGGCATGCTAAAAAAGCAGTGGGTATAAAGAGCCAAGGGAACTTTCCATCCAGAAGGAGCAGAGGCAAGGAAGCCAGGAGAATCCCACCATGTTAGAAGTGGAAGGACTTGGTAGCAGAGGGTTGAAGGAATTGCAGGTGAACTAGAGAAATCTGCTTTTTTTCCTTTGAAAGAGGACCCAAAAAGGAATCCGTAGGGTCAAGGAAAACTTTGTCTGGTGAGTCAGGAGAGAAGTTCATTAAAGGAATCCAAAGTCTTGATTTTAAAAAGTGAAGGCCAGATAGGAAAGGAGAGAATCAGTCCTTTATGCAGAAGCAGATGTTGCTGAGAGGTGAAGCAGCTGTGTATTTAAACCAAGCAAAAGATCTAAACACTGCTGTTTTCCCCCAGCTTCAAACTCCAGGTGATGGCCTCTTTCACCAGACCCAAAAACTATTTGCAAAATTCCTTTCTCTACCTTGCTACCCAGAGCCTAGGTCTCTTTTCTCTTATTGAGCCCTTAGGCTCACTGAAGTCCGGTATTTCTGGATTAGCAAAAAAAGTCTCACCACACATTTCTTAGGAACAGAGGCTGATCCGCCCCGGGCCATCATGGGAAGGCCTGGAACAATTAGCACCACTTCAAGCAGCTCCCCTGCATACCAGCCCTGGGCTCAACCAGAAAGAAATAGCCAAGAGCACTCAATGGAAAAGCTCTGGGTGGTTCTGGACAGAGAGCCTGTTACTGGAGATTTTCAGATCAAAGGGTGGGCTCTGGCAGTCCTAAGAAGGTCGGCTCCACCACCTGTCTCTGCCATGACAATTAAAGACGCACGTGATAGTAAACAGTGGGGAAAGGAAGAAGAGTCACTCTATGGAACCACATTGAGAAGAGGAAGAAATAAAGCTCTAGTGACGCCCAAGTCTATCTAACATGAGGATTAAGATTGACTAGAGAGCCAGAAGTATGTGTAGCTGCGCAGCACTAGTCAAGACTGTAGTAGTCAATACAGTGTGAAATCTCTTCTTGGAAAGCAGGTTCCTCCTTCAACTTTTCCCTTTACCCAACAGGAGATTCCTGGGACAATTATGATTATTTCATTAATCAACTAGCCAAAGGGAGGGGCACAAATATCTTTAGAATCTGACGGGAAATTCCAGACCCTTTCTTAAGGAACCTTCCATTACCCATTATCCCTTTCTTTCCTTTAACCTCTTTAACCTTCCTTCTTTCCCTTCCTTCTTCAACCCCCACCAACTCTGTTCCACATCTTCCTGCCTGCTTCCTTCTTCCCTATTTCCCTCCCAGGAAGTCTAAAGCACCTGATGTGAGCTGTGCCCCACCTCTCCCATCACCGCAGCTAAAGCTGCAAGGCCAGCCCTGCTCCCCCTTTAACCTCTCACTTTCTTGCACTGGAATTCAACTTCTGGAAGTCACAGAAACATATTGTTTCATTTAAAACATATATAGAACTGTGGTGGTGTTGCTGAATTAGAAGATAGAAGGAAAGGAGTTGTTCAAGTGCTGAGTTCGTTTTAGAACATTTTTGTAATCATCTAGTGTGAAGATCCCCCCCCACACACACACATACAAAAGGATAAATTCAGATAGCATAATCTCAAATCTGAGTATGCTTTTTTTGAATAATGTAATAGACATGAGGAAAGGGGTATTATTATGAGCAAGGAGGTAGATACCTGTAGTTAGTATAACAAAAGGTATATTTTATTATGCTGTGGTCATTATACAATATTCACAATCTAAATTCCTAACTACGGTTCTAAGCCTATCTCCCCGGGGTTGCTCACCTGAATGAAAGTCAGGTCCAGTCACTAAAAGAAGTCTCTAATTCGAGGGTCAGGATCCTAGGGGAGACTCTACAGCCATGGGACAGATCAAGGTAGTGTCTCTCCAGATGTGCAGAGCAGAGCCTCGCTCTTGGTCTCCACCTATATACTGTCCAGTGGGCGTCATGGGGGCCCAGGAGCATGTCTGCTTATCTTGAGTGAGTGATGTCACTGAGTTCTGGTTATCAGGAGCAGCCTTGGATGTAGTGGGGATCCTGACTGAGCTAATTTTACATGTCTAAAAGGCATTTCTTACTATGCTCATTACAGATATTACATTCAATTTCAGTAGAACGTAGAGTCCTCTTAGAAGGAAATATGGAGTATTTAATACACAAAGCAATCAATCCTTTGCCTTCTCTTCAAAACGTACTGTTAGAGAGACGGCTAAAAAGATACCTCAGTGTAGAGTACCCACCTAGCACAGCTCTGGACTGTGAGGAAGAGAAAGAGAGTTACAAGAATTATCAGTACAGTTTATGCTCACCATCTGATGTAGTCTATTAGATATTATGATTCCCACCGTACAGAGGCAAGAAACTGTGGAGTCAGGATTTCAAAAGAAAACAGAGAGCTTTTGAGCCCACAAACCAAATCAGTAAACTGTAACTCCAAAGCAACAGAAGAAGAATGTTCATCACGTTTACTACCGAAATTCTAGTTGGTTACTTATTTCAGGTAGGTGATTTATTTTCTTAAAGTGCCCAAGCATCCAGATCCCCTTCCACAAGAGACCTTCAGACATAAAACACTTGGTCCATTTGAGGTTCATCAAGCCACATGGCAATGATGGAGAGCAATATGACCTTAGTAAGTGCATCTATCTACCTACCACTCCAGCCAACCATTCTTTCCACTCAGAGCCTGTGTGGAGCTGCATCAACCTGGAGGCTGTACATTTCCCTCACCATGCCTTTGTCACTGAAGTTCATCCTTCCTAGACCTGTTTGTGGGAAATCTTCACCACCTCTACATTTCAGGAGTATCTCAGCCTCTGGAAATCCAGAGTTGAACTCCTCTGTGTCAATCTCCATCCCAACCCATTTCTCTTCTTCTGCTTCCTGTCTCTGACATTGCTATGTCACCCTCAGTGTTCAAAGTAAAACTTCCCATTTCTTTTGATTCCCTATCCAATAAATTCCAAAGTCTGGTTAAATTCTCCTTCTGAAATAGTAAAGCCTCACTTCCTCTTCCAAACTGCCCCTGAGAATCCCAGACAGCATCCATTGATCCCATGGCATGTGGATAGCGCCATTTAGCATAGCAGGTAATGCTGACATACCAAGTTTTCATGCGTTTATTTCCACCATGAAATGAAACACGTTTCTCCCTCTTATATCTCCCTCCAGTTTCTTGGAACCTGGAGTTCTTTTTAAGGTATTTCTTGGAGGAGAGAGAGAGAGAGAGAGAGAGAGAGAGAGAGAGAGAGAGAGAGAATATGAATAAACTGCCATACATCAAACACTTTCTGTAGCATATGGTTTGTTTGTTTAGCCTCCCTCTACCCATTCCCTCCAAACTATACATACACACAGGACTATTTAAAATGAAATACAAAATATTATTCCATAAAAAATAAAATAGTTCAGTATGAATTGATAAAAGATAAAGATTCCGCACACAGTATCAGCACACCTAAGAGGAATTAACTAAAACAAACAAACAAAAGACTCCTGACATCAACAGATAGTTAGGTTTTAGATTTCCCTAGATGTCTTACAAATGTTTTTATACAGCTTATTTCTTTCAAAACAGGATATTTTTAAAGGCCCATTTAATTACACTTACTACTCTGTTTTAAGCTAATGTTTCCTTGATGAATAAATGGATAGGTGAGTGGACAAATGAATTCTCTTTAGCATCTCTCCTTTCTTCACCACTCTGAATTTTACCCATTTTACAAAAAACTTGCTGAAACTCTTCTGTGACAACGCAGTCCAAAGTAATCTCTCCCCTTTCCCACAGATGACAACAAAAGTTGTCATCAAGACCTCTTGCCCCTATTGCACTAATCTTATGTAACATTGTAAAGACAGTTTATCTCCCCTGTAAAGTTCCCAGCTCCTAAAAAGTAAGTGATGCATTTACTCATCAGTGTACAGCACTTGGCCCCAAAAACAAGGCCTTGCTAATCCTGAACAACTGCATAACCTATTTCTAAACTGAATAGAATAATCAAAATTATCATCCGTAGATAGACTAGTAGAGCAGCGTTTGCAGACGTGGGCTCAGGTATGAGTTTGGCCTCCGGTTGGTTATGTGGTCCAGGGAGATACATCAATCAACTCATGTGTCTTCAAACATTTTTGCTAGTATGCTTCCTACAATAAATTTGGCAGCTGGAATGCCCTTTCCCATATAGTATAAACTGATATATAGAAATCTTCCATTCTCGAATAGCAGCAAACAATAATTTTTTTTCTTTTTGACACAGGCTTTCTCTGTATATCCCTAGCTGTCCTGGAACTCACTCTGTAGACCAGGCTGTCCCCAAGCTCAGAAATCTGCCTGCCTCTGCCTCCGAGGTGCTGGGATTAAAGGTGTGCGCCACCACTGTCTAGCAATAATTCATTTTTTTAATCTATTGTAAATATTTATATTCTATAGTAATATGGTTGCATCACTTTATTGTGTCTACCAGTTGAATCTAAATACTATGTCTATTTACTAAGAGCTTATGCTAAGTATGTATACTAAATACTATACCCAGCACCAGGCACTTAAATATAGGCTATCAATTTCTTTTACAGTTGAATATTTTACATTGTTCTCTGTATTGCCTCCTTAAATTCATATCTTCATGCTCTTCTACAACAGAGGTTTGGCCTAATATAACACATTTTATGCATAGGAACCTGGATTTGATCATCTGACATAGACTTCTTAGTAGGGAGGCTGTATTCATGCTTCTCTCACTGCCATAAATTATTCAGTCAAGTTTCCCGTATTATGAGAAATCACAGCAGTAAGCACACCTTTGGGTGCAATGAAAACTTGCCTGGGAAAACCACTTTCAGGTTCATGGTATCCTCCCCTCCCCTGCCAGATAATACATCCTTTATTTTATTTATTTATTTATTTATTTATTTATTTATTTATTTTTGGCTTCTAGCTCACTGAGGATGACCTTGAACTGCTGATCACTCTGCCTTCATTTCCCAAGTGCTGAGAAAATAGGAGATATATGGCATCATCCTGGTTTATTGATATTATTCTTTGCAAAAAATGTACATAAATTAAAATTAAACTTTTATTTTAGCATTAGGCTATATATGACATTGTACATGGTTTGTGATTACTAGAGTTTTTCGGAAAAATCCAGGATTTGTCATTCCCAATAAGTTAGGCTCAAATCCATCTTCCCATAGGAAAAGACAAGGACAAGTCATAGTAAAGGCAGAAAAGGGAGACTGAGTCGATGTTGCCACTAAGAAAAAAGGTCTGGCCACCCCTTGTTTGTCATATTAGAATGAGATTGTGGTTTAAACAAAAGGCAAGAAATGCGTATAACTAGGCAGTCCTGGCCAATGTATAGTCCCTTCCATTACTGACTCCAGATTTTCTAGGCTCCAGTCTGTCCTTTAAGATGGTGTGATAAGTTGTTAGAACCATGTGAGATCTCTTCCTGGGAGGCAAGTTTCTCTCTGGCTGGTACCAGGTTTCAGCATCTCCCTCCTCCCAACAGGAGAGACATTTAATTTTTGAGTAAACCTTCTTTGGACAATTTGTGAGTACAAATTTTATGCTATTGTGAAATTTATTCCTAAGTGATTTATTCTATTAAGAATGAAATTCTTTTCTTAACTTCAGTATTGAATTGCTGATACCATGCAGAATTACAAATGATTTTTATATATTGATCTTGTACCCTATAACCTGTCAAGTTCTCTTATTCCTGGGAAATGTATAAATATATTTGTGATAGTTTTATATTATTTTTCTTTTAAATTTATTTTAAACTTCATTATAAAAGTGTTGCAAAAAATAACACACCAGAATGAAGCAGGCCCAACTCAATGAACAAAATTCACAGAAATCCATAAAAGCTAAGTATAACCTAATTTATAGCTAGGTATGTCATTTTGTTGAGAATCAAGTTTCTTTGGAGATTTTCCTGTACATGACCATGTTCATGAAAGTAGGTTTTCAACGGCCTCAGTTCTGGCCGTTCAGTTTACCAATAGCTCAGGTCATACGTGGCTTTCCTGGACAAGATTTAGCAGTTCCAGCATCCATACCATATATCACAAAATAGATGGAGGACTAACAACAACTAAAGTTTAAGCCTGAAATTCTGGCCCAATCCTGGTGTGTATGTGGAATAGTAGGAAGCATAATGCTGGGCCCTGGCTTCTCACTGGGAGGGAAACTCCCACGGACTTGTAACACTACCACCAGCTGCTCCTCTTTTTTGATCTGTGAAATTTTCCCTCTATCATTTGACAATTACAGCCTTTTAAATATATTTCAAAAGACCTCATGGATCACTGCAACAATATTGGGAGAGTCAAGCATATGCCTACTTCACCATGGTTTCACCATGAAACCATTTGTTTATTTCTTCAGCATTCTTTTTCTTTTTTGTTGTGCTGGAGGTGAAATTCAGAGCTGCTGGATAGCCAAGGACTCGATCACATAATCAGTGAATACTTACTGAGGGCACTCTTTGCACCACTCCAGATTCTTGAGATACTGAAATCTTAAAATACATTATCACACCTGATAGAAGCACAAGGCTCTTTTTGTGCTCTATTCTAAAATGTGCCGTTTGTCTCCATAACGTAGAGAAACATTTCTAGTGTATCAGGATGGCTAGATTCAAAGAGATCTGCATGCAGCCCTTCTCCCCCTTTCCGCTTCCTAGATTCACCTGGTTGTCTGCTCTCAAAATAAAAGAAATTAAAGCTCACTCACCCTGGAAAGAAGCCTTTTCTTTTCATTTTTCTCATCTTTCCCTGATGATGACACTGATGATGTCATTAAATGCTGAAATCACCTCTAGGAAAAAATATCCCTGCCACCTACTCAATATTCAGTATTATTCCCCAGGACCTGAAGCCTTGTGCTTTTTTTTTTTTTAATGGTAAGTTATTTTAAAGATTTCAGTCATGATGATGAATTCTCGCTTCTGGGCAGACCTCTTATGCTGCCATCCTCTTGGCATTTCTTCTCTGATGAATGTGTACTTAGGCTGTGCGTGACATTTTTCCTGATGATTGTGTTTCACATCTTTTATTCGGCTCTAGAAATGCTAAAATTAGATGCATTTTTCAGTCTCTTGTTCAATGGGGGAGACAAAAGGCGTCCTCTGGTCTTTGCTATTTAACAGGCTGATGTGCTGACTAATTCTGCAGCAGCTTTCACCATTAGTTCAGTTGCTAAATATAGCTGTTGACATGGTGTCTGATAAAAGCTAGTTAATTTAACAGCATTTTTCATCCATTAATATTTCCATTGTTGACTGTTTAAACACAAACCGTATCACTACAGTAAAAGCAAGTCAAAACAAGGGCATCCACACATTAGAATATGTTAGTGTCATTTTCAGCCATTTTTCCTGTTACTTCAGAAATGAAAGCTGCTGAGAAGCATCAGCAACATTGTTTGTTTGTTTGTTTGTTTGTTTGTTTGTTTGTTTTCAAAATAAGGTCTCAGACAGCACAGGCTGATGCTACCTCTATGGAATTATGGGAGCTGAGGGAGGCTAAAGAGACCAACTAAGGTGGAGTCAACTAGGGCTTTAGTGGTTTGTTCTTTGTGGAGTTAAATCTTGTGTTATGCCCACATTGCTGCATGCAGACCTCTGCCCTACATGTTTATGTTACAAATATGCCCAGATCTTCTCAGCCTAGGGTGAAATGACAGAGGTGGCTGAATGTTAACAGGCTTTGAAATCTCAAGCTTTAGACAACTTATGACTCAGTTCATTTGAACATAAATGGTCGAAAATTAATTCTTGTTTTCTGGGGTAGAAAGATTTAGGAGTATGAATCATTTTTGGTCAAGATTCGGCCTATATTTGGGAATGGCTCAAGAGGTACTTCTCTGTTAAGCCATGACATGAAATGATTATTAGTGGAAGGAGTCCATTTTCTTTCCTGTTGTTGTCTCCCCATAAAGCTCAGCTCTTAGGGCATACTGTTAATTGCTATGAATGCAATAAAAATATAAACTACCTTGTTTCTGTGGCTTTCAAAAAACAAAGCAGGAACAAAGGTACAAACAGTAGATAATCTTTGCTGGTGCACCTGACGTTGTTTAAAATGCTAGAGGGAGATGGTCTCATTTACTCCTTAGTAACTTCATGAAGCACGAAGCAGAGGTTTCACTGGAGTAGACCTTTGGAAGAGACCACATAGTAATCAAAAGGGCTTGCTGATATTTATGCCCAGTCTTATTCCACTATCCCTGAATGGATAGAATTGGAGGGTACTTTTTAGTCATAGACAGACACGATCCCCTTTTCTCTGCCACTTTTGAAAAGTCAGTGATTGGTGATGTGAGCCGTATTGACTGCTTCCACCTCTGTTGGGGTGTTTCTGTATTAACTGATATACTATTTCAAAGGTTTGAGCAGGTTCTCAAAACTAACACGCATTCATGTGTCCATGTGTACACCCATCCTTTGGGAGTCATGCAAAAATCTTCCTCACAACCCAAAATTGGTGTCCCATCTAATCCCTTCTATCTTGTCTACTCCAAAGAAATGACACTAGTGACACTGATGCCATCATCTGCTCATCTTAATTTTTGTAGAGTGTCACATGACCACACAGGTACATATAGACTGAAGAAGTTCCTCTGTTGTGCAGAAACCATTTCTTGCAAATGGAACTTTCCTAAACCCTGACATTCTAGGTCCTTCCAGTGACAGCCTGTCTCCAAAGGACTGTCCATGGTCTGTAAACTTGAATAGCACAGATTGACACACCATTGCATGCCTAGGAACATTGGGAAATATAATACATAACCTATATAATAGAATCCCAGGACCCCAGCGGTTTCTAAAACAGAAGAAAGTCATAGGCTATGGCCTACAGGCCTAGTAAGCCTCCCTGCTTGTTCCTATCTCCTATTTCAACTCCTACCCTCTCGCATGCCTTCTACACTTTCCACTTCCAAACTTTTTTCATTTATTTATTTATTCACTTTACATCTGATCATAGCCCCCTCGTTCCCCTCCTCCTAGTCCCACTCTTCCAAATTCCTCCCCCCATTACTCCCTCCCCTTCTTTTCAGAGAAGGGGAATCCCTTCTTGGGTTCCACCTGCCGTAGGACATCCAGTTCCAGTAGGACTAAAGCACCTCTTCTCCCAATGAGGTCCAACTAGGGCAGTCCAGGTAGGGAAGGAGATCCAATAGCAGGCAACAGAGTCAGAGACAGCCTCCACTCCAATTGTTAGGGAACCCACATGAAGACCAAGCTTCACATCTGCTACAAATGTGTAGGGGGCCTGAGTCCAGCCCCTGCAAACAATTTGGTTGGTGGTTCAGTCTCTGTGAGCCCCCATGGACCCAGGTTAGTTGACTGTAAGTTTTGTGGTGTCCTTGACCCCTCTGGGTCACTCAATGCTATCCCCCACTCTTCCACAAGACTCCCTGAGCCCCACCTGATGTTTGGCTGTGGGTCTCTGCATCTGCCTCCATCTGCTGCTGGAGGAAGCCTCTTAGGAGACAGCTATGCTAGGCTCCTGTCTGCAAGCATAGCAGAGTATCACTAATAGTGTCAGGGATTGGCTTTCTCCCATGGGATGGGTCTCAAGTAGGGGCAGTCACTGGTTGGCCACCCCCTCAATCTCTGCTCCATCTTTTCCCCTGTGCATGTTGTATGCAGGACAACTTTTGGGTTGAAGGTTTTGTGGGTGGGTTGGTGTCTTCCTCCCTCCACTGGAAGTCCTGCCTGGTATGAGAGGTGGCTATTTTCATCTCCATACCCCCTCCCACTGGTGGAAATCTCAGCTAGGGTCGCCCCCATAGACTGTCCAGAATGTCCATTGTCCCAGGTCTCCAGATAGTCCCAGAGATGCCTCCCCCCACCACAGATTTCCATTCTT